AACATTTTCTAACCAACATCATTTAACCGAGATCAAACCTCATATCCTTTGTGTCATCTTTAATCTGATTTTCACCCATTATTTGCATTTTGTTTAGTTAAAGAACACCTCGAGCTAAATTTTGTGATTTATATGACAAATAGACTTATGCATATCAAAAAAGTATATTATAATATTTAATGCATAGCAAAAAAGAGCTTTACACTTAAACTCCAAGTAAATATAATATTCTACTTTAGCCCCTGCATTTGCAATTAAAAAACACTAACATTAAATTATCAAACTATTAAAGTATGAGTACACTCAATCACAAAAATCTGATAATTAAACATGTTCATATAATTTCAAAGTAATTTTCAGTCTTCCAATTAAATAATATCTAGCAATCCTTCTATTATGGAAATTTCAGTATTTTCTGTTTTCACTATTATTACTGCCGCTAAATGTTTCATTTCCCACCACAGCTGAGGGTTCTGCTCGGCTGAACACCCATTTAGGCATCAAAGCTGGCTTGCTCCCAAGCCACCGCTCTGCGTGTCCATTCACACACAAAGCTGCGGATCATCCCTGTCCCTCCTCATTGGCTCGCTGGCTATGACTTGACAGCAATGGCTACTACTGCTGTCCAAGCCAATGAGGAGGGAGAGTCCCCGGAGAGCAGAGCTGAGAGTCTTGTGCTCATTCCTGGATTGCAATGGGGCACAGGTAAGTAAGGGGCTGGTGGAGGGGGGATGCTGCACACAGAAGATAGAAAGCATGAAGGTAAAAAACCTTGAGCCTTTACAACCACTTTAAATAGCCAGTAAATATTGCATATACTGCAACATAAAGTGGAACTAAACCATTCTATCTATTTTTAGCCAGGGAAGCTGCCATCTTGGCCTTTATTTCATCTTTAACTATCATCATGTTGAACATGTGATAAGTTATGACACCAACCATTTGATGGTTTGACAGCTTAGTTGATAGCACCAGCAACTGTGACAGTAAAGCTAGCCACAGATGGAATGATTTTCTTTCCTGAAAGAAAATTGCGGTGTTCTACCGGCGACACAGTGTTTACTGCTAGTAGATTCAAACTGTCTACGGCCGACTTTACTAATCCGGTGTGTGCTGGAAATGCAACTGTTTTTTTAAACTGTTATATTGATGGGCTTAGTTCCACTTTAAAGTGGTTGTAAACCTCAGACATGAAATATGAACAAAGCATATAGTGTGCACTTATCTCAGTTAAGAGCACTAACTGTATTTTCATCTGCTGCTTCATTCCTCTGCTAACAACAATCACATCTGACAAGTTTTCTGACACCAAGAGAAAAATGGTGACAGGGGAGGGACAGGCTCAGCTCTGTTTCTGTGAGCTATGTAGAGGGGGGGTATTTTTCCTCCAAGCAGCTCTCAGAGCTCTCCTCACTGAACTCCACAGTGTGTAATTTCAGTTCTCCATCCCTTGCTTTCTAAACTCTCAGACAAGATTTGTAAATTTAGCATTTTGAATGGATGAAGAAAACTGTAGATAGACAGGTACAACTTATGTAGGAGGATTTGTTTCATCTCTGTGTATCACTTGAGGCCAATCACTGCACTGGGTATACAATATGGAAGGGCTTACAACCAGCAGGGGCGGACTGACAACTCATGGGGTCCCCAGGCAATAGGGGATCATGGGGCCCCTGTGTCCTTGCCCAAACTCAAAAAAGCCTATGAAAACGGTACCAGGGGCATCTCATGGGGCCCCCTACTGACCCCGGGCCCTCGGGCAGTGCCTGAGTTTCCAAATGGTCAGTCCACCCCTGCTTACAACCAATTTAGGGAGACTTTCCTTGTTAGTCATCATTGTCCCTCTGAGATAAGAAATTCTGATAATCTGAGTTTGCAAGTTATAGTAGGAAAAAAAAACATAAATCCAGCTGTAATATGATGTCTCTGGTATGGCAAAGGAAGGATGACTATGGATGTATAGTCTTGCAACACAGCCTTAAAGTATACTGTAGCTAAAGGAAACATGTTTTTTACATTTTGGATAGAGTGCAGTAAGATTAGACCCCCTGTCAGTTTTTATTGCTGTCTGTGCCCCCGTTAGGGAGATTCACCCTCTCTATTTGTCCTGTTTACTGTTATCATTGAAAGGGAAAGTAAAAGAAAATCCCAAATTTTTGGTTGTCCGCAGAAAAGTAATAGAGAGGAAATCTTCTAATGGGGATACTAGTTCTGATGGCCTGGGGGTCCCCAAGAAAGTTATTTAATTTGCATAGATTTCCTCTCATTTCCTGTTTGGCTATGGGACAGGAAGTGAAGGGAAATCTCCCCAATGGGACACAGATGGTGAAAAAAATTCTGACAGGGGTTATAACCATCCATTATTCTATCCAAAATGAAAAAAAAATATTTGCCTATAATTCTACTTTAATGAAAGTTGGTATACAGCACCTGGGACATTTTATGTTTTATATTTTTTGTTTTGAAAACATGCAAACAGTTAAAGCCAAAACATGTTTTCTAGTATGGAAAAACAGGGAACCTCTTCAAGGATTGTTCTGCTGTCTCCATTACCATGTGGAGACTTGCCCCAATTATTTGTCACCAGGACAAAAAGTAAAGAGAAATCTAATATTTTACAACTCTCACTAGAATGTGGAGAGCAGACCCATTGGTGTGGTAGCTGACAAAGGTGGGATATTCCATTATTTTGGGAAGATTTCCTCTCACTTTCTGTTGCCTTTGGGGCAGGCAGACAGGGGGAATTTCCCCAACTGAAAGACACTTATGCAGGCTATAAATTTCTGATTTTCTTGCCGAATTATCGGCCGATAAAAAAATCGGACACTATTCGTACCGTTAGTGGGGAAAAATGTCAACCGTTTTTCTTAATTTTAATATATTTTGAAAATCGGCCAAGCTGAAAAATCCTGGGACAATTTGTTAGATCGACCGATTTTCACGGTAATTTATGGTCAAATCGGCCGTTCTTCTGGCCAATTTGACAATAAATTGACTATGAAGAAAAAGAAGTAATAGAAAAAATAGATTTTGCAAGAGAAGAAGAAATAGAATATCAAGAAGAAGAATAGAAGAAAAAGAGGAGAAGATGAAATAGATTTTGCAGAAGAAGACGGAGAAGAAAAAAAGTTGCAACATTGTTTCTATTTGTATGCATGTCGGATACAGATGTTTCTATTCAAGTACAAATAGATACAATGTTGTTTCTCTTCTTTTTCTTCTGCATAATCTATTTCTTCTGTCAAATATAATAGCGGGTCCCTATGCAGGGACACCGCTATTATATTAATTGACGGCTGTAGACGGGACTAAAACCAGCCGACTTTTTTTTTTAATTAGTGGCGACGTCAGCCGTCTGAACGACCGATTTAAGATTTAAAAAAAAAAAAATGTCCGATTTTCCCCATGTCTATGGTCTGCATAAGCGATATTAACCTGATTGTGGATTTAAGTTGAAAAGTAGAAAATTAATCTACTAACAGTCTAATAAAGGTTGGACATGCATACCTCCTTTCAGGTACAGCATTTAAATCCTCTCACGGGAAAAAAAAAAGCAAAACTTTTTTTTAAGGAAAATGTTGCAGTAAAAAATATTTTGTATTCATTTCTGCCAGAGGAAGAGTAAATAAATATAATACTCATTCCCAATGCTTGAGGAGGGTGTGAGTGATTGTTTATAGCAGCATTTATCAACACAGAGCACTTCTATGGACTGGCTGAGAATGAAAGAGCACATGATGAACAATTTATAGGAACATGGCCTCTCTTTTTCAGAAGTATGCTTTAGCTTCCATGAAATGAATGGCTGCAAAGACTCAAGTAGATAATAGGCTACCGTTAGTTACATTTCTGCACTGAAAGCACCAAACAACACGAGAAACAACAAACTGATTTGTTTTTGACATTGTGGAAAATTGTGGAAAAGGACCTAAAGCTGAACTCTGAGAAAACATAAGTACGAAATACTTATATTTGGTGCTGTTTTACCCATCAAAGGATTTATGTTTCTGTCCATTCAGTCCTGAGATTTACACAGCCCCACCATACAGCACAGCCAGAAGAAGGATAATACTTTTAGTTATGCAGAATGAAAAAAATTTTTTGCCTTGTTTCAATTTGGTATTTAATTTTGTTTAGTTAACCGCTTTCCCGCCGCCCAATAGTAGAACTACTGCTACAGGGCGGCAGGGCTGCGCAAAATCATGTATATATAAGTGATTTGCACTTCCGAGTAGGGGGTGCGCACTGCCCTACCCGCGCCGCTGTTAGCGGCTAGGAATGTCAATCACCAAGTCCTGGCTGGAGATTTCCCGCCGGCACCCAGCAATCACCATGTAGAGCCATGTAGAAACCTGTGAAACCTGAGAAACAACACAGGTCTCCCTCTTGCCAGCAAGGACATGCTGCTTTGTATTTCTCTGCACAGCAGAGAAATACACAGCAGCATGTCTCCATAGTAAAACACACACAGCACACAGTTAACCCTTTGATCACCCCAGATGTTAACCCCTTCCTGCCCAGTGTCATTAGTACAGTGTCAGTGCTTTTTATTAGCACTGATCACTGTATTAGTGTCATTGGGATGTCAGTGGCAGTTAATCTGTTCCCACCCAGTGTCAGAATGCCCACCAAAATCCCGTTAGAAGTCATTAATCGCCACCATTACTAATATAAAAAAAAATGTAAATTAAAATTCCAGTATATATTATCGCCATTTGTAGACGCTATAACTTTCACGTAAACAAATGAATTCACATGTATTGGTTTTTTTTTTAGCAAAGACATGTATCAAAATACATTTTGGCCACAATGTATGACGCAATTTGATTTTTAAAATTTTTTTATTGGATATGTTCAAAATAGTTGGTCTAGAGGTGATCAAATACTGCCAAAAAAAGCTCTATTTTAGGAAAAAAAGGAACATAAATTTCATTTATGTGCAGCATTGCATGATTGCACAATTGTCAGTTAAAGTAACACAGCGCTGTATCGCAAAAAATGCTATGCAGAGCCATACAAAGCAGTGTGCAGGGGCATAGAGGGCAGAGATCTGTGTTGTTTATAGACAGGTGTCTCCCCCATTGGTAATACTAGGCAATTACCAGGTTTTCGATTCAGTAAGGCAGCAATAAAACTGTTTTCAATGAAGGGGGCTTTGTACAGCAAGTCCATAGTTTAAGGCCTCAATCACATCATATATGCAGAATAACTGATGAAAACTGACATGCAGATTTCATTTACAGAGACATCAGTTTTATTGCCACTGCAATGAGTTTTATACACATTGCAGATTCTTGCACAAAATAAATTTGCACGTAATACTATTGTTGTGGTGTGAATAGGGCACACAGAGAACATATGATTTCAGTGTACCCTTGCAGAACACGTGCAGAAAAACTGACAACTCTGCACCATGGTGTGAATGAGCCCTTTCAAAAAAACTCCTAATTTGAGTTACTAACTCAATTCAGGTCAGTTCCAGACCAACAGCGTTGTCCCTAATGGATTCCCCAAAACAAAAGGCAGCACTTGTACCTTTTTTAAATGTTCTCTTAGCACTCAGCCTTTTCACCAAGCAGCTGGTTCCCACAGTGTCAGGGAAGGAAACGAGGAAGCCTTGGCAAATGTGCCAATGCCCAATATTGCCATACTAATTTGCACAAAACTATGTGCATAGGCGAATGGCACGGAATCGCGCATCCATGTGCGCGACGGCGCATCGGCACACACAGGGCACAATAATTTCTAGCATCCAGTGGCCTTTATAAGGACTGCAGCCCCTCACAATAATTGCTGGATTATCATCAACCTCCTGTTCCTGTGTGTTTTATCCTGCTAATTATCTGTTACCGACCCGGCTTGACCCTGACCTGCTTTGGCTCCTCTCCTGGCTCTCAAACTTGGCTTGTTCCTCGGATTTGCTTCCCTGTGCATGACCCCAGCCTGCTCCTGACTTCGCTCCTGACTTTACTCCTGATTGATGTTCTGTGTTTGTCCCCGACTCTGGCTTCTGACTTCACTTCCTACTTCACCCATCTACCAGTCCTTTGGAGATCCCACTCCTGTATCCTGTCCACCAACGGGTCTCGCCTCATCGGGCATCACCAAGCATCCATATCATTGGTAACCCATGCTTCTTTGAGCACTGCACCTTCTGTTACCACCCTCTGGGGTGCATTGCACTTAACTGTAAGGGGAGTCCTCTCATCACCTCAGCCTTCGGTCAGGTACGTGACACACAGCCAAGAGTGTCAGAGAGATCAAGAGAGCCATAAGCATCAGTAAACTCACACAAGGTCTAGCTACCAGTAGATGTGGACCTAGAAATCGAGGCTTGTGCTCACCCAAAGCTCTACAAAGCCTCTGGGCTCGAGGACCCAACGCAGAACTTACTAGGATTCTGAGAAAACAAAACTTTTTTCTATGTCTCAGCCATACATTCTGGAGTTCCTCACTGTATGTGAGAAACTGAGGTGACACAAACACAAGGTCCAGAATCTTATCCACCAGTGCCTCACACTGCACATACAATTTTAAGTCTCTACTTGGCAGGATATGCAAAAATAGTGAAGCCTGCCATATCGCATTGCATAGAAATAAAGAAAATACTTCCACCAAGGACAATTTAGAAATAGTAATCACAGAAAGTTGAGAAAAAAATGACTGAAGTTAAATCAGGTACAAAAAAATTACAGAACTCCAGGTCATCACATTCACACACAAACAAATGCTTATATTATATTGTTTTTAATGTTAAATAGATGTAATATGGTTATGTATAGTAAAGAGAGGCCACCATCAAAGAGAATCCACTGACCTGAAACATGTATAGTGAGCACTCTTTTCTCTGGGTTTTGTTTGGTGTATACTTGATCCAGGTTTGTGATAACTTGATCCAGCACAGCCAAGCAACTATCGTTTTTAGAAGCCAGCAAAATATTGTCTCATGACTGGTATTTTTAAAACAGTCCACAATGAAAGCTACAACCCAAAATAGGATGCAGAATACAAAAGGACAGTCACTTGTATTACTGGTGTTCTTCCGGCATCTGATCTTTTTTTCTATTACTGACTTTACCATATGTTAAAGTGCTACTAAAAGTGGATATTTTTGTAATTGAAATAACAAACATGTTATACTCACCTGCTCTGTGCAGTGGTATTGCATGGAGTGGCCCCGATCCTCCTCTTCTCTGGTCCCTGGATTGGCGATCCTGGCTCCTCCTCCTTCTTTGTGTGTCTCCATAGCAAGCTTTTTGCTATGGGACACACCCTGCATGTTCCAGGACACACAAACAACGGGACTTAGCTCCGCCCCCTGCTTGCTCTTCACTGCATTTGATTGACAGCAGCAAGAGCCAATGGCTCCTGCTGCTGTTCAAGTCCCTGTGTGAAGAGGAAGCGAAGGAAGAAGAGATGCAGCCCTGAACAGCGCTGATCTCTTCTTCCTTTTCATCCCCTTCACACAGGGAAGGAGAAAGACAGGGAAATTAAAAAAGTTAAGAAAAAAAAAACGTTTTTTGGTTTAGTATCACTTAAGGATTATTTTATTATGCTTTCTGTATGTATTGTTGTGGTCACTTGCAAATACTTTCTAAGTTTCCCACATGTGTGTATCTTGTCTGTTTGAAATAAACCTCAAACTGCTTTCACTGCCATACAGTGGTCATCATGAATTCTTCAGCATATTGCTTGTTTTGCACCATGTCTCTGTGGAGGTGACCATCTTGGTAAAGGAAGGGCTTTGTTTCCTCATTTCACAGCTGCCCTCCTTACTATGACATCTGAGTAGCGGAAGAGCTTTGCTTCATAATAAAACAGCTGTCCTGTTATTAGTTCAAAAGGCACATATCCTTAAAACGAATTACACAAAAGCAGGGAGATGCTTGCACTGCAGTTCCCCAGGTACAGTTCACCTGCAAGTCCTTGGTCACTACTAAAGTAGTGACATTGCCAATTCCTAATTCAAATCTTAGCAGTCAAAGGCACAGTACCTTAGGTGATCTCACCCTGCAGATACACAGTTATGAGGCTTTAGGCATGCCCAGGCAGAGTCAAATATTAGGATGCACACTTAGGGTTAGATTTACTAAAACCAGAGAGTGCAAACAATCTGGTGCAGCTCTGCATAGAAACCAAACAGCTTCCATTTTTTTTTTGTCAAAGCACAATTGAACAAGCTGAATTTAGAAGCTGAATGGCTACCATGCACAGCTGCACCAGATTTTGTACTTTCCAGTTTTACTAAATCAACCTCTTAGTTTTTTCAGAGGAAATTTACGGCAAATACATTTTTAAGGTACTGATTCGACAAAATTATTTTTTCTAGATGTTCCATATAAGATAAAAAAACGTATTTTTTTAGTTCAAGTCCACTTTAACTTTCATAAACTAGTTTATTGCAACCCCGTTGGGGCTTGCCCAAAACATTTATGCAGCAGTAAAAAGGTGGGCTTTAATGCCCCTATGCCTCCCATATGAGTCTCTGGCCAGCCAATGTTTATGCGCTGAGAGTGCACTCACTGCACGCTCCCAACACAAAGGCTGAGCTGTCAAAGAAAGCTCTCCAAACTAAAGGTCAGTAGCCAGTGGGACCAGCTTGTGATCATGTGATCACTGTGACAGTGGTCACATGATTACTGATCCTTCGCTCCCCCTGGAAGTTCAGAACTGATTAAAGGGACACTGAAGGGGTTAAAGTTGTACTTTCCCTGCAGACAAACAAAGGGATATTATCCTCATATGTCATACAATTGCTTCTTCAGGTCCATAGCTGAACCCAGTGCTATATAAAAACAGCCTTTATACCATTGGAACATTCAGATTTATATGGCTGTCTGTGGCACAATGCAGCTGCCATACGGAAACCATTGTAGACAATGGCTTTCTTAGATAGGGCTGAAATGTACCAACAAAACTTTACCAACTGTAACAAGAAGGCTCAGTTTGTTTGAGTGGGTTCTGTGTAGCTAGATATACGTTATGCATATCCTTCATAAATATTATTATACTGTAACTTTTTCTTTATATACTGTAAACTAAACTTAATACTTTAGGATTAAAATCTGCATGATAAATTTTACAGTCCAGTGTATGCCAAGGAGTATTTAGTCTTTCCCAACCAGGGGAACTCTAAGGTTTCTCATTGCTAGAGGATGAGCAATTTCAAGTTCTCAGATACTTAACCATTGACATCAAAAATTCTTTAAGGTATCTGTAAGGAGGTCATTCTTCCTACTAAATCTTACAAGCATTCTTTCCACTGAGCACAAGTGTAAGGAGCATTCTTTCCACTAACCACAAGTGTATGGAGCAGTCTCTCCTCTTACCACGTGTATTGGGGCCCTACTCCCACTATCCACCAGTAAAAAGGGGTCCTCCTCCCAATGATCACCAATGTAAGGTGGTCCTTCTCCCACTGACCACCAATCTAAACAAGAAGTACTTCACCATCCTCCAATGTAAAAACTTTTCATAGATGACTAATATGAGGGAACATTGCAGTTTTCACTTTCTATATTTATTTTGAGGCCATTATTTGTTTGTTTTTTTACTATTATAACTGAAAATGTTGTTATATTGAGCGGCCCTGGATGTCAAATGCTGTAAGTTTGCCATACTCATTCTTTACTCCTTATTCTTTTTTTTTATCCTTCTATTTCAACCAAAGGTTCACACACATTTCCCCTAATCTGTAGGGGTTCTCTAAGAGCTGAAGGTTATTTAAAGGGTTCCTCATGTTAACAAGCTTAAGAAAGGCTGATCTACAACTCAGATTTTCTATTTGGGAAAGATATAAATGATTTTTAAAGTAACGTTAGCTGGAGAGTCATACCAGGTATTTATAGGGCCGAGAATTTAGGCAGAGCTTTACATATTGTACATTCACCTCAGTAATAAATATCAGTCTGGTGAGTTTCAATCTAAGAGGTTATAGTTTATATTGCAAAAATTGCAAAAATTGTAAGTTTGCACTGTGAGGTGGATGTTTCTCTCATTTAGAAAATATATTGTGGACCATAATCTGATTTGTTTAAATATGTGTTTGTACTAAATATTCTATTAAGACATTTTCACATTGTGTAGCCT